TCAATTTGGTAGAGGCGTCAATGATGATAATAAAAAAGTGTAGTAGGTCTCCAAAAAAATATTCTATAGCATATAGACTGAATCTTGTGTAAATTCTTAGCTATCATGTTACCGATAGTAAATGAACTAGATAGATGTTTTTGTGGGCAATCGTCACTGATTATTGTTTTATCGTTGTGTAATTTTGTTATTTTTGTGAGAATGTAGTTGGAATTCTCTAATGAAAGGCGAAAAATAAGCGAAAACGAGTTTGATTCGGCTCAAAAAAGCACCAATATATTGATAGTTCCTTTTTTAGTTGCCCATTTTGTTTGCTTTTATTAGAGGAACCTACCATAAAAATGTTGATTAAATAGCTCTTCAAAAAAGAAAGAAAATTTACTTAATACTAGGTTTAAATTTCTTTACTTGTTATTGATAATCCGAACTATAAGATTACAGAGCGCAGGCAACTTGTTAGTGTTATTTGTATGCGTTCGTTCTGCAGACATTGTAACAATTTTTTAATTTTAAGAACAAGTTGTGATTTCGATAAGACATACCCTCTGGTCAGAAACCTTCGCCGCCTCGCACTGTTCATTGTACTTCATTTTTGAACACGTCATATGAAATCTGAACGAAGGCAATTTCTCAGTTTCACTTTTAGTGTGGTAAGGAAAATGCTATTGAAATTTAATAATTCAATTCAGTTAGTATGGTCTAGTTTTGAAGAAGCAAACAAATTATAACGTGGGAGAGGTAGGACGATCGGATTGGTACTTTCTTTGAATTTTTGATTTCGATTTAACGTGATTGCGACTGTACTGCCAGGATGGTAAATACTACAGATGTGATTTCTAAAGTAATCGTTCAGTAACAAAAACTCCACACAATTTCACCGACAGGCGCTCATTTTGCCCCCATTTCGGTTAATTTTTTTAATTTTCACTTTCGTGAAGTTTTGCGTAAATGTTTTTGATTTTTTATGGCGCTCAAAAAGGTCAGAGAACTGATATTTCCACCAACTTATGCATTTACTTTTGGTAAAAAACAATTAGAATTTTTTATGAACATCGGTTTTTTCATATCGATTCTGATTTAACGCACTTGCGGCTGTAATGTCGAAATTCTAAGCATATGTCACAGAGGTGGTCTCTAAATTAATCGTTTAGTAACAAAAAGTTCAAAGAATTTTAACGGCAAGTGTCCATTTTGCGCCATTAAAATTATTTTTTTATTTGACACTTTGGTATCCTTTTGCATAGAAATGTTTATGGCGCTTAATAGGGGGATACGATAGCACCACCGTGTCAACCATTCGAGTACCTAAATATTAGGGAAATTATGAATTTTTTTTGTAAAGGTACGCAAAATTCACCTCGTGCGGCCAAAACCGTGCATTTTTCATAAAAAGATTCGTGTTTTTGCAATCCTCGTGACCAAATGTATACGATGGCATCGAAAAAGGGACGATTTTTGACAATTTTTTTCTTCTGTTTTTGCAACTTTTTAAGTAGCCTTTGAACTTCAATAAAACCGTCTGTAACCTGATCTTTGAGATAAATTGTAACGTCCAATACCTATGTCGGTCGATCGAATTGGGATTTTTTTAATTTTTAAAAGGTATTTTTGTTTTTTGGAAGTATCACTTATAGTGACTTTTTTTAAATTTCGATTCAAAAAGTCGCTCCGGAAGTGCACATAATGGAGCGATGCAAGCTTTATAGGGGAATCGATGGTGTCCGTCTGTCCGTGAACACGATAACTGTCAAACGCTTGGACTGATTCGGTTCACACTTTGCACAGTTGACCTATATATACCACAAGTAATAAGTCTAATAAAAATAAATGGGTCAAATCCAATGGCCCCTTTGGGGTCACGCGTCTCTGTCTTTGCCAAACGTTTGAACCTATTCGGCTCAAACTTTGCACAGTTTACATATATACCACATGTAACAAACCTATTGAAAATAGATGAAATCCAATGACCCCGTCGTCGTCGTCGACGCGAGGTAGTTAAACCTTTCAATTGGTCCTAATCTAAAAACGATAATAAGAAAGTTATCTATACAATTCTGGATGCGCAGTACGATTTTTGGCTCTTTCATTTTGTTTACTTTTATTAGAGGAACCTTCCATAAAAATTTCGATTAAATTGCTATATAAATAAGAAAGTTGCGGTTTGCGCATGCGCAGTACAATTTTGGGGTGCGCTCAGACTACTCGTACGCGTGCTCGTGCTTGCGGTACTTGTTGGACTCGCGAATAGTGTAGACGTGAGAGCAAGTCACGAGGCAACACGAGCAAGGCCGGATTTAGCATGGGGCCATGTGGGCCCGGGCCCATAGCGGCAAAAAAAATGTTGGGAAATAATTCTATAGTACTATCGTGGAAAAATGACATAACCTCTTAGGAATTGAAGTTAGAATGTTACGCACACTCTTACCAACTTAAAATTTGTCTGTGTTAAAAGTAAGAGATACAAGTTTGTCTTTTTTTCTTTTCGATATTCATTTGTTGTATTTTTTAGCGGATCTACGTTTTCAGGGACGTTTCGTAGGCTTCCTTTTTGTATCAGTAGGTAACTTGCGCTGGCGACTATCACTTTGTCACGATCTATTTAAATAATCGCACACATTACATGGATCTTCTCAAGTCAAAATCCTGGGAGCAAACCAGACGAGTAGAACCCGAAATTTGACAAGTCTCTAAATCATTGCGAGTGTTACATGAGCACGAGTTCGAATAGTCTGGACGCACCTTTAGAGGGACCTACCATAACAATTTGGTTCAAATTTAGATTAAATTGCTTCATTAATAAGAAAGTTGCCTATTGCGCGTGTAATACAATTTTTGGGGCGTCCATTTTGTTTGCTGTTATTAGAGGGCCCGATCATAGAAATTTCAATCAAATTGCTCCATAAATAAGAAAGTTACGGTTTGCGCATGCGCAGTACAATTTTGGGTTTTCTTTGATTAAGGTGCGCCCAAACTACTCGTACACGTGCTCATGCTCGCGGTACTTGCTGGACTCCCGAATAGTGTAGACATTAAGACAGTTACGAGACAAGCCATGCAAGCAGCACGAGTTGTCAACTCAAGAGAATCCGCCCAGTGTCGGTCATGTTTGCTTTTATAGGAAGATCTACCATAAAAAGTTTAGATCAAATTGGTCCATAATGCGCAGCACGATTTTTGGCGTGTGCCTTTATAGGCAATTCGATTCTAGAACGTGGCCGATCGATATACGATGCCAACTTAAAGAACCGCATCGTTCTAGCCCTCGGCGTTTCCGAATAAACGCCAAAATATACAAACTATTGAAAGGTTCCATCCTGTATATACAACTTAGGACGATACATACATTTTTGAGAGTTGGCAACCATGGGAAAAAGCCAAGGTTATTTTGGAAAAAGCTGGCTGCGCCATCTAGAAAGCACGAACGGGGGTTACGTTTGGCATCTGGTCTTGAATGGCGGTCCTGAACGCGTCGCTCCATAAATGTTTGTTGTTATTTTGTGTTATTTAATACATTTCTTTATATCGTATTTGTGTTTTGTATGCCGCATTTGATTTTTTTTGTGTTTCAATCTTTGTTTTTGAAATTTACTTGGTTTAACCGTAATGCAGAATGACATGTTTCATACCGTTATCCCTATGTTTGTAATCATTTACGGTTTTGGTGTAATGTTTGCTTAATTTATGTTTATTGATGTTGATTACTTGGTCTTGTCCCTGAAGTAACATTCATATAAATTTTGATCATTTTATTTTAATATGTGAAAATTACAGATTCGTCTGATGTATATACTGACTTGTTGTTTGTAACTAACCATTTTCTCCGTGAATGAAGCAGTCACGGGGGTGGTAAAAACTGTAGTAAAAATTGAGCTACGACACCTAATTCTGTGATTGTCTTCGATTTTCAACTGTAGGCTCGAAACCCCGCAACCAGGGGCGGGTTACCTATCTTGCCGGAGCGGGATTACGCTAATCAAAGCTCTTCAGATTAAAGCTATGTGTGATAACTGAGTTACGATTCGTAATTTCCACATATCACATATCTGGTTTTTAGTTAAATTTGCCTTGTAATTTTCCATTTGCTTTTAACAAAAGGACTTTATTGCACCAAAGATGAATCACATCCTGTGTATTCCGCCCTTTCTTAGAATCTTGGTACCTGCTTACTTGACCCATAATTCCAAAAACTTGTTTTTAACCTATATGTTACCTCTTGAAGTCTACCTGCTACTTTTTGTCATGTTATAATTTTATGTTACGCATTCACATCATTACAAACAATTAATTTTACAACACAATTTGTTATTAATTTGACGGCTGGTTTTTTTATTGGTAATTTCTTTTTTTTTCCCAGCCTATTTCTGTTTTGATTCGGTGAACTACCATTTTCAAAGTTTATTTTTCAGTGTACATAATTCGACTTTAAATTTTCGAGCTTTTACAATCAATAATAATTGCGATCATTATTAAACAAACTTTTCACAATTTCAGTGTTTTACTTTACGTTCCTTCCCTACTGTGCTTCAGGTCATAGCGTTATTTATAACTAGCGTAAGGGGCCCTGCCTTAGATGTTTGATCACGTGCCACTTTTCAAATTTAAGCGGGATGTTGTTTTGTTTTGGAGGGAATAGTCATTCTGATGGCCATTTTTTAATGTTGCCGAGTTGACTTTATTTCCGTGTTCTTGTAGTTAGTATAGAACCTAGGGGTTAAGCAAACTACACTATAAAAAGTACTATTTATTGGCTGGTGGTGGGGAGGTGGGAGGAGTGCAGGTTATGAAGTCGTTACAAGCGATTATTTTATAACTTCGATTTTCTTCAGACCGCCCACCCCGCGGTAGGAGGGGAGTTTACCGCGCCCGCGTCGATCAAAGACCCCAATTTTCCAACCCCCTCCTAACTGCGCCCGCGATTCTACCCTTTTGACCGTCCCCGTCGGCGGGGTAGGTGTTGGTGTGGTATTGGAATCAATTTTAATACAGTTATTTTGTTTCAGTGCGAACTCTACAAAAGTGGAGCTGCCGAAGGTAATTTATGTATCCCGTTATGCGATTCGCAAGATCAGTTCACGTTCACGTGTCAAACGTTCCACTCCACCAAGGACGCAGTCATTCGAGTCACATGGGGAGACATACGTTTTGTACTGAAATCCGCCGTGTCGAATATTCCTGCAATACACTGGTACGACAATGGTGTCTTGAAGTATCCCAGTGAAAAGGAATTTTTGTCAACCCTAAAGGCAGTAACTAAACACATGCTGAATTACTCATTACCGAGCAGCAGCATAAATAAGCTGGCGTATCTGCAACCAAACGAGAGGGAGATGAATCTAAAAATTCGCGGAGTTGAAATGGACAACATATGGATCCTGGTTCAGGACAACGAGTATTTAATCTCGAAAGCGTACGCCGATAGAGAAATCTTCCCGCAAGTTATGGGAACTTGTGGGCCATACTTTGGTTTGGAATTCGTGGAGGCCTTACCGGAAACGTACTCTCTGCTGTACGACCAGGATACGAAGAAGAATTGGAAACGAAACGTCAAGTACGCGATCATGATGATGGAATTGCTGGAAGAACTCGATAACAATTTTCGGGAACCACTCCATTTGTGTGATGTCAAAATACGCGACTTTGGGATAACCGATCCAGAAAACGGCAGAGCGAAGGTTCTAGATTTGGATATGGTCTATCCCAAATCGATCGTAACTAGATTTATTAAAGAAATCGAGACCTGCGGGGAAGATGGGGACTGTAAGTATTACGACTGTCGGGGTAGATGCAACACTGAGATTGGTAAATGTGGCGCGACGATCACAAACAATAATCTCCAAGTGGTGTGCGAGAAAATATTCTTGGGGTGGAGAATGTCAAATACGATACTTTTACCCGGTCTGCTACTGTCGAAGTACGCGCCGGATGAACTGATGGTCGCCTTGCGGCAGTGTGGCAATCCAGAAAATGAAGATAAGGTGCCGCGTGGTGCTGCTAGCGAAGATGTTAGGAAACAAATTTATAACATCCTGGTCGAAATTGACCAATATATCGAATCTGATTCGTATTCTTAAGAAGCTGCCACGATCAATCGATTTCACTATGACTTGCACCCCAAAGCTTGAAAAGGGATGATTTTGCGTCACACGCTTTAAGTACTTGGGGGCCTTGGTTCTCGAACATTCGCAAGAGATCATCGCGAATCAAATCGTGAGGTTGGTAGGAGTGGTGCGAACGAACTCGGGAATGGTAGGTACCCGGGTCGTTTGTAATTTGCAATATTTTCAATAATAAACGACCACAGAAGAAAATACAGAAAGCCTTTTACTATCCAATCACTGGCTTGAAGGTTTAATAATAGTCTTAGTAGTAAGTGGAGGTAAGCAGCCACATTGACACCTTTATTGCTCCGGTTCAAGTTTGTGCAACTGTAGAGTGAAGAAAGCGTAGGACAGCACAAATCTTGATATAATGCAACATCAAAATCTGTATAGACTACCATAAGCAAAAAGTGCAGGTAAGCATCGTAGTACGAAGGCGTAGAAGGGTCACACAAACAAAACAAATTTTATGATTTCATTGTTGCAATTTCAGCCAACAAATTGTAGATTACGATTTACAATTGTAGATTACGTGTAGATTACGGTCTACAATTGTAGATTATGATCTACAATTGTAGATTACGGTCTACAATTGTAGATTCCAATTTACAATTGTGTATTAAATTAAGCATTGTACATACATTAATGTGCTATTGTCATTGAGTCGAGTTCTCTCCAAGTAAGTAGCAGCGTGGAGGCGGAAAAGCTATTGGTAATTGCAAATTAGTGATTTCTAGGAGTGATCTACAATTGTAGATCGTAATCTACAATTTGTTGGCTGAAATTGCAACAATGAAATCATAAAATTTGTTTTGTTCGTGTGGCCCTTCTACGCCTTCGTATCGTAGAGTGTTAAATAAACGGTTAAACGTTATAAACTATCGGACATTTAATTGCCAACGCCTATTTAGAAGGTTGAAGGTACTATAACTTTTTAGTACTAATTTAGTGATTCCCCATGTCTTACCATTGAATTTATAACTATCAAATTCAATGGTTTTACTAAAAAGTTGAGCGCCACTCAGTTTCTTTAAATGATTGGAGCTTTTAGTCCAGTCAAAATAGGATTTGAACTTACAAAAGGTCAACGAGTTTTGAAACTTGGTAGATTACTATATTTTGGGGTCTCTGAGTTTGCGACCTTGAGCGACCGCTGCTTGCGCCGCCTTATTGGGGAAAGGGTACGAAAATTCAGTTTTTCGATAATTTCTTGGTTCCAGCGCCAACTCCGTTAAAAGTAGCTATTACGAAAGTTATAGAGCACATATTTCAACTTTCGTATTTAAAGTTTTTAAATCAGATGAATATTTTACGAGCCACAGCCTAGTAAAAGTCAAAACATTTTTTGAATTTGTAAAATCGCAATAGGTACTATTTTCTCCAAATATGGGCGGCAGATGTTCATTTGTTTCGGCTACACCTTTTCCAGTTTTAGTTTAAAAAGCGTCAATTGTATTTTAAAAATATCAATTGAATATTAAAAAATATCATTTGTATTTTAAAATTGTTAATTGAATATTCAAAAACATCATTTGTAGTTTAAAATAAACAATTTAATATTATAAAGTGTCATTTGTATTTTAAAAATATCAATTGAATATTCAAAAGCGTTATTTGTAGTTTAAAATATCAATTGAATATTAGAAAATGTTAATTATAGTTCAAATTGCTCATTTCTATTTTAAAAAGTATCATTTGAATTTTAAAGAATGTCATTTATAGTTTACATAGAAATATTTGGGAAAAAAATCAAGTGTGTTGTATATGAATCAATTGTTGCTTTTTATAGCAACGGCTTTTTTCTCTTAGCAGCAGTTTGTTTACAAGCTTTCAAGTCACAAACGATCTTTATTGAATTATAAATTCAAAATGAACTTTAGCGATAATTGTGCAATATGCAGGAGATCAATGTTGAGAAAGGCCGTGGGGCATTTGTTACATAGAGTTTGTTTTGGAAACTTGAATGAAGCAGATCCATTGTGTCCATTATGCCGGAGTGGAGTGGACGAGGCAAAAAATATAGAAAGGAGAATCAATAATAAAGACTCCCAGGACAGGGAAAGGATTGTTTTGTGTGCTAATAGAGGCGAAGACTGGACGCAATTAGAAAAGACACTGGGAATAAAATATCAAACGGCATATAAGTGGATAAGTTCATTCATATACATATGTATGTATATAGGTACACTATATATATTATATTAACAATGCTTATTATTAAGGATCCTCAGATCCTTTATAGTTTTGTATTGTCGTCCGTCCGTCCGTCCGTCCGTGTGCGCTCTAACTCTTTTTAAAAGTGGCCGATTGAGTTGAAATTTGGTGTACGGGTTCTTTGGACATTAAGGACGGACGCTATTGATTTTCAGGAAGCTGGTTCAATAGGAACAAAAGTTATAGTACTTCGAGTGAATCGGAAACAGGAAAAACTACGGGCTCAATATAATAGAAATCAACATATTTCATTCCCTAGGTCATGTATCGGGTTGGGACTTCCGCTAGATTATTCCCTATGACTCTTAGATGTGTAATACTTTAATATAACTCTTCTCTGTGGTATAAGGTCGAAAGTTTTAGAGCAAAATGTAGCAAAAATTACACTTTATACTTGAATTTAGAGTTTTAAAAGGTTTCAAACGCATTATCTTGATGCAGCAAGAGTACATCACGTGCACATTTGATAACCGCATGTGTGTGATTCAAAAATGTTAAATTATTGCCATATGGGTTTTGATCAAAAATAATCAAAATCGTTATTTATGCACCAAGATCGTCGAGAAAAAGACTAGGGGCATTATCTCAATGCTCAAGACATAAATTTGATGCATTTCTGGCGCCCACATGGATTTTGATCAAAACATGTCAAAATCGTTATTTATGCACCAAGATCGTTGGGAAAAAGACTAAGAGCATCATCTCAATGACCAAAACATGAATTTGATCTATTTTTGGCGACCACATGAATTTTGATCAAAACATCTCCAAATTGTTATTTATGCACCAAGAACGTTGGGAAAAAGACCAAGAGCATTATCTCAATGATCAAAACATGAATTTGATCTATTTTTGGCGACCACATGGATTTTGATCAAAACAAGATTAAAAGCATTATCTCAATGGCCAAGACATGAATTTGATGTATTTTGTAACATTAAAATAAATTATCGTTAAAAGTTATTGTAATACTGAGGATCCTTCGATATTTCGTTGTATCGGTTTATTAGTTTTATTATTCTCCTAGTGGACCAGGTGGCGATCGCCCGCCTGCCCCTAATCATTGATGTGTGTATAATCCAATGCCCTAATGAATGTAAGTGATATCATTGTGTTTATATCGTTTATAAATACAATGGTGATATTCAAGCAACTTAGGTAAATGTTTTGTAATAATTATATTGAATCTTTATTTTCAACATAAATTCCCATAGTGAATATTACGAGCTAAAATCTACAATATGGATTATAGGGAAAATAAGTAGGTAATGCCATAATAGTAATTGTGAAAAAAGTCAAGTTAAAATATTAATACATGAATTATAATATCACTTTTGGTACCTACATAATTGAAATGAAGTACAACAACAAATCAAAAAAACAAATATCAAAAAGAAGTATGCCTTCAAAATAAGCCTGTCTGCTTTCTGTTTCATTTCATTAATGGATTGAGAGAGTAGTAAAAATCAGATCCAACAAAAAGAGCATGGTACATTTCGGATTCTATGATGCCATCCCATTGATGTGTGCAGGTTGATAATTAACAAATGTATAACTTGCTTCATTTGGAACTATAGATATACCTACTTGTCTTTTACGAATCATTATCACACGGACCACATTGGATGAAAAACTGCATTGTTTGTTGCATAATCACAATGGGAATATATTAAATCGCTAAAGCTATTGAGGTCTCTTTGAAATATGCATTCACAGAATCCCACTGGGCGCATTTGACATGTTTGAATATCCTAGACAGCAGATACATTTGAAAATGGCGATCATTACAGGATGGATAATCACAATCGGTATAATTTTGTATCCACGGGAGCCATGTGTTTGAAGAGATGTGCGTCAAAACAGTATTTATCATTTGTTTCATAATCACACTGGACACATTTAAAATCTTTAATACTTCTGTGTGATAAGACATGTCGTTTCAAACTCCTTTTGTAATTTGTTTCAAAACTACAATGAGGACATTTTAAATCCTTGGAAGTTTTGTGTGTTAACAGATGTTTATTAAACTGCGATTTTTTATTAGTTCCGTAATCACACTGGGTACATTTAAAATCCTTAGAAGGCTTATGATTTAGGAAATGTTGCTCAAGGTTCCTTTTGCTATATGTTGCATAATCACATAAGGAACATTTAAAATCTTTAGAAGTTACGTGTTTTAGTAGGTGTACACTTAATTGGTTTTTGTTATTAGTTTTGTAATCACACTTGTCACATTTTATGTCCTTCGTTTTGTGTGTTAATAGGTGTGTACGTAACCGGGATTTTATACTCGCAGAATAATCACATAAGGCACATTTAAAATTTCTCAAAGCCATGTGTTTCGCAAGATGGCGGTTGAGGTTCTTTTTGCTATTTGTTCCAAAATCACAAATGTTACATTTAATATCCTTGGAAGGGTTGTGCGTTAACAGATGTGCATTTAAACGAAACTTCAGATTGGTTCCATAATCACACAGGGTACATTTGAAATTTTTGGAAGTCTTGTGTTTTAAAAGATGTTTATTTAAACGAAATTTAAGATTAGTTTCGTAATCACACTGGGCACATTTCAGGTCCTTGGAAATTTTGTGTATTGCAAGATGATATTTGAGATACTTTTTGTTATTTGTTGTATAATCGCACTGGGCACATTCAAGATCTTTACAAGTCTTGTGTGTTAACAGATGCCCTTTCAAACAGGATTTATAATTGGTTTTGTAATCACACATACCACATTTTAAATCCTTAGAGGTCTTGTGTCTTACAAGGTGTCTTTTCAATATGTACTTCCTATTAGCAGTGTAACCACACTGGACACATTTCAAACCATCTGAAGTTTGTGGTCTCTTAGTAGATAAAGTATCGCCAACAATATGTTCAGAACTTTTGTATGGAATGTCTCCCACAAATTGATTTCCTTGCTGCACTTCTTTGTTATCGTCCCAATTATTCACGTCAGCGACATTAAGATAATACACCTTGGTTGTTGTATCAGTATCAAGTTCTTGTTTGATCGTTTTGGGCAAGATATCATTCTGACGGAAAAGCTTTTCATCAATTAATGTATTAATTTCTTCTTCTTCATGAGGTTCAATTTTAACTATTACTGTAGACATTTCACTCTACTGTATTTTTTCAAGAAATCAAGACCATTCAAAATGACCTTGTTGTAAGCTATGTGATGTGAATGCAGGAACGAATCAACTTGACTGCACGGAAATTATATACAGGCTGTCCAATATATCCGTATACATAATTATAAAAATCTGTTTTGACATAATGCTTCTTGTTGTAGGTCTGAAGTGTAAAGAACTCTGCGTCCAGTATCATGGAACATCGTGCCTAAATGCCACGTCGTCTCTTCAGAGTAAATATGCAGGTAAAGCGGAAGAGAAGGAGAACCACGAGTCGGTAATTTCAGACAACCCACCCACTACCACTAGAGCGTCGAAGAGCCTGAAGAAGTGACAGAGGAGAATGATTACGTTGAGATATAAATGAATGTGTGAATATTTTGATGTGAAAATACTGGTTTTACGTGAATAAATGATACATAGAAATACTTTATTTTACAATTAATATTTCCTCACACGTGAAAGTTGAACGTGAAAAGTAACTTTACACCAACTTTTCAGTTACCTACTTCGTATGAAATTTCACAAAGAGCATTTTCAGCTAAACATATTTCATCTAGTCCTAAAAGTCGCAACATATTTGCAAAAAACCCCAAAAAACATAAAAATTGATGATTTTCGCCTCCTTTTATGAATTTTCTAGGCTAAGAGGTAGACCTAGGCTAACTTCTCAGTATCTACCTTGTATAAAATTTCACGAGAAATATTTTCAGCTAAAAATATTTTATCTAGACCTCATAGATCGCGAGATATCAGCCAAAAAAGACTAAAACGCGGTTTCTGGGGGGTGGTGGGGTGGCTGGGGCCCTTAGCACTCTCGTCATGTAGGACACCTACAGGAAGTTTTTTAATTCGCATTCGCTCTCTCTACACCATTTCCAACTGTAGTTCAAAAAGAATCACATTAATTTTCAAATATATGATTTGTATTTTAAAATTGTGGGATGAATATTCAAAAGCGTCATTTGTAGTTTAGAATGGTCAATTGAATATTAAAAAATATCATTTGTATTACTTTAATTTTAAAAAGTGTCATTTCATTTGTATTTTAAAAGTATCAATTGAATATTCAAAAGCGTCATTTGTAGTTTAAAATGGTCAATTTAATATTAAAAAATATAATTTCAATTAAAATATAACATAGATATGAAAAAAGATGTTAGGTAGCGTGTATAGAATCATTGATTTTTTAACATTTTTTTATATATGTATATCGATGAGATTTATGAAAGGATAGTTTTCTCTTGATAATTTCCGCTACTTATTTATTAATCAATAAATATCAGAGATAGACAATTTTCGTGGCAATAATAATCGATTATTATCAGCAGCTAACAATCATTATTAATTATTTTCAAAAGTTATCGATAATTATAAAAAGTTATCGATAATTATAAAAAGTTATCGATAATTATCAAACGTTATCGATCATTATCGAAAATTAGCCTTACGATTTATCGATAATTGTCGATTATTATCGAAAGTTAACGATAAGTGATTAAAGTTATCGATAATTATCGATAGTTATCAATTAATGATTAATCGATAATTATCAGACTGAACAGACTTATCGATAAATCGATAACAATTTCATTTATCGCTCAGCTCTAGTAGGTATACGAATTCACGTAAACTGGGACCATTGAATAATAAATTTATTCAATGCTGGGACCGATTTATTTGTGCACAATGCTGCATGGTTATAAAAAAAGCTGATTCGCGAAATTTAGTTATCAAATGTGAATGTGGAAATGATGTAGCTGCCTGCTTGCAACTGACAATATTTTGCCTTCAAATTTTTTTTGATCGTTTTTTAATAACAAAATCTCCCGCTTTCAGTAAAAATGTGGAACCTGCCTATTTTACTGCCTGTGAATAGAATGTATGAAATTGCATTCATTCAAGGACAAGGACTGCAAGCTTCGTTCGTCTAAATGTATTATTATTTACATTACAAATTTACGCAATGCTTCTTAAGGGATCTATTTTTAGAACATTCCAATCCTATTTATAAAACCATTCCAATGATAACACAAAAAAACATCCGGAGTTCCTGACATCTGACGATTAAAAAGGAAAATATTCGAATGGTCAAAATAAATGGTTTGTAATGCTGCCATCTAATGTCAATGTAACGCTCCACTTTCGATCGCCCACGGACTTTCAAACGATCGAACTGCTCCTAGCGGCGGCCAGTTGGCACATGGTCACACAAACTGTTATATGGGATCCGCGCTTCTGATAGTTATAAATTCAATGGTACAGTCGCTGTAAAACTGCTCCTCTTCTTTCAATATTCAAAGTTTTGTCATTTAAAATCCAATGTTGCGGCCAGGAGTCATTCTCAAAGATTTCATTTTTAAAAAGTTACATCAATCACAATGGCGGCAAGCAGCAGTAGTGCAGCTATTTATTCTAGATGTCGCTAAGGTAAAACTTAAACTTGGCGCGCGTCTGTAAAAATATAAGGAACTGCTTCATCCGATTATGATGTCATTAAGTTCAATGAACGGTTATTTGTCTAAAGACCAGTATATAAACGTGACCTATACCAACATTCCTTTCTCCATGACATTTGTGATTTGAATGTGCGTGGGCGACCCTACGGAAAAGAAGACTCTTTGGAAATTTTACACGATTGTGTAAAGGCCGAAACCCATTGGCAACACGCCACGCCACGCCACGCCATGTGGCATAGGTTCACGTGGGACAGTTTGTGTACATATTTGTAACACGCCACGTGATGACACGCTTGTCAGTTTATTTAAAAAATTGGCAGTAGTAACTTTGAGTGCGATGGACTACACTAGCGCAAGCAGTTCGTCTAGTGAGAGTTCTTTAGAAGAATGTGCTGCTTCTGTCATCGTTTTGAATCAGTTATTTTGTTATCGATTTGTGTGTATTAAATCCTTTAATACCTAAACCTAACTTTCCTTTTTTGATTACGATATTTAAAAACGTTCTACTCATTCGTGAAAGACATTGCATGCTTAATAATATTTTAGGTTCGCCACCTATCGGCAACATTCCCGCGGAATGCCCCTCTTAAAATAAATACGGAAACAGATTGCCGCGGGAGTGGAGAGGCGACCGGGGAACATTCACACGTACCAACACGCGTGGGTCACATCTGAGGGTTTTGAATCGTCACACGTGAGGTGGCGTGGCGTGGCATAGCGCGTGTCAAGTGTGTACGCGGTACATGTGAGATGCCTCAACCTTAACAACGTCCTGTGAATATGATTGTCGATACGAAGCACCCTATACATCATGTAGGTTACACAAGCTGCCAACAGAAATCTGGTGGGATTACAGAAAAGGGAAAGAGAGCGAAGATGAGACGGATGAATATCTTGGAAGACGACATGTGTTTACAATTTCAAACACCTGCAGTCCACTTTTTTCTTAGAAATGCGTGAAATGCAGGGAATGGGCGATTTTGGGGTGGTTTATGGGTATTAGCAGATCAAATTACCGCGTGGCTTGGGTTGGTCAAATAAATAGGATTTAACATGTGTGTTCATGCTTTTTGTCTTGTAACCGGCTGAAGTGTAAAGTACGGCTTGTCTTGAAATATTTTGTGATACCTTAATCATTACTGTGTGCTTTGTTATATCAGGTGAGGTATTTGCTTTATTCAATTAATCTATAAATGTGTGTCACTTGAATGTAGATGGTAACCCTTTACTTATGTACTTACTGAATTCAATCACTTGTACCTTTAATGTGTAACCTTTGTTGGTATTGGCAATCATGTTTCATTGTCGGTAGGGCTGTATCTGTGCTGTACATACTTGCATGTGTACATATTTAATTTGTGTATTGTGCTTTTTAGTCACCTAACACTAACATTTTCACTCGTTCCGAACCCAACAACTTTAGCCCAGGTACTCCTCCCGCCCGGCGAGGTATATTTGACATCTCTTAGTTTTGTCCGATGTATGTGTTGTAATACCTGGGGAATATGGCTCGATCCCATTTTGGTTACTCATAGCGTGTTTGTATTAGTTACCCCGATTTCGAGAGGGCTCAAACGTGCTGTACATTGGATGTTGTTCATTATAGGACTACTCCGAATTAGGTTTTCCTGCAGTTTTCCTAATTCGTAAGGTAAATGCCGGAGTAGTATAGAACCACTTAAGACCCTCTGCAGGGGACCGTTTTGGTATTAGCTGCAATATAAACTTAATCAACTATTGCTTTTGGTATTCCTTACCCATAAAACGCCCTCAGTGCCTGCTGAGAACCCAGTTATTACACAACGCAGGTGTCCTACATGACGATCACGATCTTAGTGTACTCGGAGTGGCCCCAGAGTGACAGATTCTCGCGGGAAATGTAAGCGAGAATATTCAAATAGGCAGCCATGTTAGTTTGGCATTCCCGCTACTATATACCGAATGTGGTCCAATATTCCAGTGTGACTTGAAGTTGGCGTTAGCCACCAAGCTAGTAGGAGGCTAAGATCATCACACATGTAAATAAATGGATGAATATACGCATACATTTTCGTCACATGGCGTGGCGTGTTGCCAATGGGTTTCGGCCTTAACGCTGCCCGTATCCTATGTCTATCCTACGACGTGCATTTCCTCAAAAATCACAGGGGTGCAAAAATGCATTTATTATCTATTGCATAAGAATTATAAACATAAATTGGGGGGGGGGGTCGTTGGCGCAGAGACCAGATCTACTCTCGAAATTCTCCGGGTATGCTCAGAGGTAGAAATTATGGTGGGCGGGGGTGAATTTTCAGTAAAAAAATATGAATTGCCCCCAGTAATTATTTTTTCGGCACGGTTAATTTTTTACTTCACTGCACCCTCTTAGCACCGCCCCTGGGTATCCTCTGTCAATTTCGAGGTCAGATGTAGGCTCTATGCCCCCTATAACCCCAGAGTAGGATTTCTCCGGCTTGTCATATAACGAGCGATCAAAAAAGGATTGACAATCGAGTCGCCGATTTCCGGGTAACCAAAAATTCCAAAGGTTATGTACTCGACAACTCTTTTTTGATCGCATTAGTATGAAGTTAGTGAAAATAATGA